GCTCAGGGCCCATAGTTCAGTGGTTATGGTGCCAGCCACATGCATTGGGGCAACAGGGTTCGAACCCGGCCCAGGCCAACTAAACAACAGTGACAACAACAACAAAAAATAGCCAGGCATTGTGGTGGGTGCCTGTAGTCCCAGCTACTTTGGGGGCTGAGTGAGGCAAGAGAATTGCTTAAGCCCAAGAGTTTGAGGTTGCTGTGAACTGTGACACCATAGCACTCTACCGAGGGCAACATAGTGAAACTCTGTCTCAAAAAACAAAACAACAAGGTTGCTGTGAACTGTGACGCCACAGCACTCTACTGAGGGCAACATAGTGAGACTCTGTCTCAAAAAAACAGAACAAAACAAGGTTGCTGTGAACTGTGACGCTACAGCACTCTACCGAGGGCAACATAGTGAGACTCTGTCTCAGCAAAACAAAACAAAACAAGGTTGCTGTGAACTGTGACGTGACAGCACTCTACCAAGGGCAACATAGTGAGACTCTGTCTCAGAAAAACAAAACAAAACAAAACAAAATGGGGCCACTGATTTCTCTGGTAGGATTCTGGTTTTTTTTCCTTCTTTATTTCTTCTTCTTTTCAAGGTTTGTTTTCTTCTGTATTCATCTCTGTATCTTCCAGTTTACTACACGGAGCGTGTATTTCCTAATCAGGATAAACCTTTATAAAGGCAGGTCTAACCTCGGGAATTGCCTTTTCAGCTTTATCAAAACAAAACAAAACCAGAAACCAACTCCTGCAGGCCTCTGTTTTGCAACCCCGCATTTTTGTGAGGAGGATATGTTGGTCAGGAGAGTCAAACAAGATTTTCTAGTGCTGTCAGCAGGACAATAAGCCACAAAGACAGGGAAATAAAAAAACCAGTGCAGATCCAAACCAGAGACGAGTAAGGGCCCTCTCCACACAGGGTACAGCGTCAGACGTCCGTGAGGAATTGCAGCTTGAGCGTATGAATAAGTCAGGGGTGAAGTCCAAAGATAAGTCTGATTTTTAGAATAAATAAACATAAAAGCTTTGTTTTCAGGCCCAAGAGCATGGGCTGGGGAGAGCCCCGAATGAGAGGAAACTCTGGCCTGGGTGAAGGTGGTTTTACTAACTCCAAGGCTTGGCTCGCGGGAGGGAGGGGTTTGGGAATTAGATGGTTCAAGTGTCCAAACACATCTCTTCTCGTTTCCAGATTCATGCTGATAATTGGCTTTGAAGTTTTGGCCTCCTTGCTTTCTTTCTTTAGGGTGATGAAACTCCTGCTAAATCTAAGCACATTCAACGCTCCAAGATACTTGGGTTGGGCTCACGTGGGCCTGTTGAATAATCACCATCCTGCCGAAAGTTCAGCCAGGCAACCAGATGTGTCAAAGAGTGCTTAGAGTCGAACAGCTAAACAGGGAAGGAGTTTCGGTCCTTCGGCCAAAAAGTGGTCCTCCCTGTCGTCCTCTCTCCCACTGCATGCACCCCCGCGTGACATGGCAGTCTTCTGATATCTGTGCTAGGATGATTAAACTTTATCCCATTAACCTCAGACGACTGGAGAGAGAGCTCTTTGCGGCAGCTTTTACATACATGTCTCCGGTCACACCGCCACAGGGAAGGAGCAGGTGACTAGGAGGGAGCCTGGCTCCCAGTACTGCAGAGCTGCCATGGTGGTGGCCTTGAGGGCTTTTGCACACACTGTTGAGTGACAGGTGAACACAGAATGTTATATAAACTGCTGGTTGCCAGGGTTTATCCTACACCTTGGTATTTTCAACCTTTTTTAATCTCACGGCACACTTGAACTTCTGTGGCACACTTAAGTTATGTATCCCAAAAAAGTCAAAAAAAAAGAAGATATGAACATACTTACTGTGCTTTGAACTTTCAAAACTAATTTAATGAATGATTTTTTAAATTGTTCACAGCACACTGGTTGAGAATCACTATTATGTCACAAGCGGGCAAGAGGCATGGTTGTGATGCAGGGACGTTTGAAAACAAACATCTAAGTTAGTGATAGTGACCAAGTGCTGCATCCAAATAAATGGCTGTCCCCAAAGGCCCAGGCAGTATTCTGACTCTTTGGTGCACTTTCCTTCAGAAAACAGGCCGTGGAAGGGCGAAGCTCCTTTCCCCTGGTGCTGGCTTCTTGCTTCTAGTTTCGTTTGTTGTCCCCTGAGTTTCGTGCGTGCTACCATCCTGTGCCTTTAAATCACTGGGCCCTGGTTCCTCCTTAGACCCCTTGTTCTCCTGCAGATCCTTTCCCTCTGGTGACAGGTTTCAGGTGCACAGGCTGCCTCAATTGTTCCTTCTGCTCTAACAAAATACCTAAGACTGAGCTGGGGCGCAGTGGTTCACACCTATAATCCCAGCACTTTGGGAGGCCCAGGCAGGTGGATCACCTGAGCTCAGGAGTTCAAGAACAGCCTGAACAAGAGCAAGATCCCGTTTCTACTAAAAATAGAAAAATTAGCCTGGTGTTGTGGCAGGTGCCTGTAGTCCTAGCTACTCTGGAGACTGAGGCAAGGGGATCACTTGAACCCAAGAATTTGATGTTGCTGTGAGCTGTGATGATGCCAGTGCACTGTAGCCACAGCACTCTACCCGGGGTGACAGAGTGAGAATTTGTCTCAAAAAAAAAAAATAATAATAATAAGGGCGGTGCCTGCGGCTCAAAGGAGTAAAGCACCGGCCCCATATACCATAGGTGGCAGGTTCAAACCCGGCCCCAGCCAAAAACTGCAGAAAAAGAAAAAAACAGACTGGATAATTGAAAAACAACAGAAAATTATTTCCTACATTTGTTGAGACTGGAAAGTTCCAGATCTTGGTGTTGGGGAAGGCCCTCTTCCTTGCAGATGACAGCTCCTGCCGTGCCCTGCCATGGCAGGAAGAGCGAAGTGCTTCTCATACCACTTTGGTAAGGTCACTGATGCATGCATGAGGGCTTCCCTCTCATGACTTACCACCCGCTAAGAACACACTTTTTTTTTTGAGACAGAGTCTCAAGCTGTCACCCTGGGTAGAGTGCTGTGGTGTCATAGCTCACAGCAACCTCAGACTCCTGGGCTTAAGGGATCTCTTGCTTCAGGCTCCCAACTAGCTGGGACTGCCGGCACCTGCCACAACGCCAAGCTATTTTTTTTGTTGTTGCAGTTGTCATTGTTGTTTCGCTGTTCTGGGACTAGTTCAAACCCACCAGCTTCAGTGTTGGTGGCTGGCACCCTACCCACTGAGCTATGGGCGCTGGCCAAGAATTCACTTCTTAATGTTAACACATTGAGGATTTAGTTTCAACACACAAGGAGAGGCACATAGAGACCTCAGTAGAGGTTGTGGCTCCAGCTTTTGTCTCCATTAACTACACGTCATTAGTTCCCTGCTTCAGCCCAGAGGGAGAAGCTTCCTTACGACTCAGGGTGGTCCACCAAAGCTCTCTCTGCCCAAGGAAGACCTGTGACCCCCAAGAACAGCTCACCTCTACCTTGACGTTATTAATGGGGCTAAAGAGAGAGGCCATGGTGCTCTACATGGAAGAAGAATCCCGGACCTCACAGATTCTTTACACCCCAGTCCTGAATATGATCCACGCACCTCATCATCTGGCTGTGTCACAGCTGCACTGTGTGGAGACACCAGGAGCCCTGGGAGCAGGACGCAGCTCCTGTGTGAAGCCAATGGACTCGGGGTGGCTAAAGAACCACCTCTTTGCCATTTCCTGCACTTGGAGAGATTAAAATGTTGCTGTGGTCAATTCCCTGAAGCAGGTTCATTTGTTTTTCATGCCTGGAAAATACCTCTGACCCCTAATGAAACTCTCTTCTTTAAAGCAGTGTTTCTAGTGGGGAAAAGATTCCCTATTTAACAAATGGTGCTCAGGAAGTGCTTAGTGGTAGGGGGAGGTCAATTTGGCAAGGTTTATAGCCACACCTGGCTGGACTTTGTGAAAAGAGACAAGACATACTTAACAGAGAAGTTGTCATCCCTCGCTGTTAGCTATATCGCTTTGTGGAATGAGGCTACCACCCCCAAATCTCCGTTAACATACAAGTTTACAAGTATCTCCAAGTACCCAATAACCAAGATGGTCCTTTTATAAAGCAGTGGTTTTCATCCAGTGTGCCATGAGAGGATCTTAGGTGTGCTATGAAAAATTTTGAAGATTATTAATTAAATTATTTTTGAAAGAAGTTCACATTAAGTATATTCTCTTTTTTTTTACTCTTTTTTGATCGACATCATTTTTGCCATGGAAGTTTAACTACAGGGTCAAGTGTGCCATGAGGTACATCCTCTCTGTCTCTCCTAATATCCTCTCCCCTGCAGGCATGATCCACGGTCCCACCCTGCCCAAACATGCAGGTTCTGCACAGGTGTGTTCTTTCTTGATCCGACAAAATTCATTAGTGTAAAGGTGATGGTTTGGGCTTGCTCGCGGTTTGTGCACCTGGCTGGTGCATCTCTGTGCTTTGATGTGTCTGTATGTTCCAGCAGCACCTGGAACACAGCATAAGCAGAGCAGCCTTTGCCAGAAAGGTCTTAATAAGTGCATATGCGGTCCAGGATGTTGGCTTGATCACACAGCTTACAATCCTTCAAGTTCAGATTTATTCCAATAGCTACAACCATATCATAAATTCAACTAACTTGGAACTCACTGTGGAATTATTCTTTTTTAGCCACGTTCTATTCATAACAGTCTTGGTTTTTATGATCTTAAAAACCATAGAAGTTGAATTTGAAAATGAATTTTTTTAAAGTCATGGCCTAAATTGTGCTTATAGTCTTGATTTTACGGATTATGTGGAAGTATTTTGATGATGCATTTGGTGGGCTATAAAAGCTTCCTTCAAAAGCAGATTTTAGCTGTCTCGTTATGTAACTCAGTCTTGTTGTGTTTTGTGTTAGAAAGATTATAGGAGCCTAGCACCGTCTTGCAGGATTAAAAAAAAAAAAAAATGAGTGAAAAAATAGAATAAACAAAGTGCGACTTGAGTTTGTCCAATCTCTTTTCAGTGCCATGCAGGATGACATTTTTATTCTCCATGAGCAAGAATATGACAGTTTGTTGGAATCGGTCTTCAAAACTGAATTCTTAAGCCTCTTAGCAAAGCGTTATGAGGAAAAAACCCAGAAGCAACTACCTCTGAAATTCAGCAATACGTAAGTCTGGATCTGGGACCCAAACTTCTGCATAAAACTAAAAGGGGCCTTGATCTCACCCCTGGGGGTCAGGCCTGCACGGGGTGGGGAGGGGGGTCTGACAGGCTGCAGCCCTGGGTGCCTCAGTTTCCCCAGTGGGCTCCTGAGAAGGAAAACAGAAGACAGTCTAGAGGGTCATCACAGACTTTGGAAGGTCTCTTTTGTGGTTTTGTGAAATAATGACTTTGTAGAATGAATGTCGTCTATTTTATCATTTGGATAAGAATCACCAAAATGAGGCTGGGAAGGGCAGATTTTTATGTCTCACCAATAAAAGAGTATTTTATGTAGTGGAACAGACAGGAGCAGAGTCGGGCTGGAAGCAGATGAAAGCGATAGGAGCGGGAGCTTGAATTCCCCAAATCGAAGCCTAATAAAACCTACCGGTGGAGCACTGGGGACCCAAGGGCGGTGTGTGGCGGTGTCTTGTGTCTTGGCTCGCCTTCATTTGTTTTGGCAACGCAGTCTAACGGACCAGATACTGGCAGACTGTTGAGCTTCCAATCTCCTATTTGCTGAGTGAACGTTATTTAGCTTTTCGTCTTAAATCCCCCATCTGTGAAATGGCACTACCCTGCATCGCTCCATACTCACAAGAACAAGGCCAAGATAAAAGGCTTAATGCCGGGCTGAGGGAAACTTACCATAGGAAGCCCTTTAGAATTGTGATTTTCCTCTCTTACAACATGAGAAAACAGAAGTTCTAAAGGCAGAATCCAGAGGGCATGGTGCAGCCACATAGGCTGGGGAGTGTGGGTCACTCTGCCTCGGGTTTGCCTTTTGGTTACTAGCTTTGGTCTCTTTCTGAACCTGGCTGGAGCATGATGGTGGAAGAATGGAACTTAATTCTGAACCACCACGTTCTGTGCTAAGGGGTCTCGGCTGCCTTGCATCTGGCATCTCCCAGTCCTCCACAGATGCAGAACCAGGGGACACAGCTGGAAGCAAGTGACACAGCACCACAGGTGTGGCCTGCGCTGGCCCCTTTCCTCTGTCCCCTGGGGCAGAAGCCACCCGACAGAGTGATGTCGGCATATTAGTGGGGCACCTCCCTCCCCCTGGTTTCTCAGGGTGTTCCCCCAGCAGCAGTGCCCTCCTGGACGCTGTGCCCCCCTCAGGCCCTGCACCCGGCTTAGATTACGTGGCCTTGCCTCAATTGTTCACCTGCTTTGATGCAGCATGGCCCCATAGTCAGGTCTGTGAGCACCACTTTCTCTCTGGTTTGTTCCACTTGTTAATTCCAACAAACGTGCTTTTTGCAGGCTGGAGCTGAAGTTGAAAAAGGAAAACTGGGGTCCCTGGAGTGCAGGGGGTTCCCGGCAAGTGCAGTTCCACCAAGGCTTTGGGGACCAGGCTATCCTCAAGCCCAGTAACAAAGTGCTGCAGGTCAGCATCGGACCCGGGCTGCCCAAGAACTCCCGTAAGTGTTCCCTAGGCCACTGGCGGAGCTACCGCCCCCACCACCCTTCTGCCTGAGCGCTGAGAACTTGTGCACAGATCTGGGGGCTGAAAATCAGTACATGGCTGCACTCTGGGGCTTGGGAATGGAACCTTCCAACTAAAGCCACATCAAGGAAAATGTACAGGTTAAAACTTTCTGAATGATTTAGTACTTATGTCCAGGACACTTGGCATTGCAACATTAATTGTGTTTAAAACAAATCAAAGTTGTTGGTTTCAAATTTCCCAGCCCTTTCTAGTCAGATCTTGTCCACAATATAAACATTATCCTCTATGCCAGTTTTACTGACCACATTTGCCAACTCTCTGCATGGTTTCACTCTGTCACTGTGAATCAATCTGAGACCTCTGCCTTCCCTTTAGAGAGCTTCATTAGATGACACACACCCACCATGCACACAGTGTGCCCCAAACCGCGGTCTGACTCCATCCCTGGTCTTGTATTCTTTTTCTGTTTATAATTGATGCTTACATACTTACAGAGTATGTGCTAAGTATTCACATAATGTAAGTAAGTCTCTAAAATTTAGCCCATGCATATGATGAATGAAGAGTTAGCCACACATAGAAGAGGCCTTTCTCAAATCCATCCACAGAGGTACAGGTCAGCATGTACCTGAACAGTAATATAATACTCAGAAATGCTATCACACCTTTATGTTCGTGTAGCCACTCAGAAGGTGTTGGTGTGTGTCTGCACGTGAGTTGGTACTCACTTGCAGAAAACAGAAAGCACATTTAAGTGGGATTATTATTTTGGGGGGGGGGGAGGCTCTGTTGTCCAGGCTGGAGTGCAGTGGCAGCGTCATACATCACTGCAGATGCCAACTGTTGGGCTAAAGCACTCCCCCTGCCTCAGCATCCTGAGTAGCTGGGACTACAGGTGCCCACCACCTTGCGCAGCTAATTTTTCTATTTCTTTTTTTTTTTTTAATGGGACAGAGTCAAGCTTCACCCTGGGTAGAGTGCTGTGGCATCACAGCTCACAGCAACCTCCAACTCTTGGGCTTAAGCGATTCTCTTGCCTCAGCCTCCCAAGCTGGGATTACAGGCGCCCACCACAACGTCTACCTTTTTTTTTTTTTGGTTGTAGTTGTCACCATTGTTTGGTGGCCCAGGCTGGATTTGAACCCGCCACCTCCAGTGTATGTGGCTGGCACCTTAGCTGCTTGAGCTACAGGTGCTGCCTAATTTTTCTATTTTTAACAGAGACAGAGTCTCTTGCTCTTACTCAGGCTGGTCTCGAATGCCTGAGCTCAAGGGCTCCTCCCTCCTCAGCATCCCAAGTTGCTAGGAGTAGAGGCATGAGCCACCGTGCCCAGCCATAGAAAGAATTGAAGGGGCGTTTAAGTAAAAGGATGTGGGCAAGGTTAAGGGAACAAAGTGGGAACCCTGGGAAAGGAACAGCAGGAAACCAGTATTGCCTTTCAGGCTGGAGCAACAGAGGAAGGGAAGAACTGCAGGCACAGACAGGCAGACTCACCCCCACCTCTCTCTTTTCTGGCACTCCAGTTGCCTACCAGTGCCTCCCATTGGCCAGACCCCAATAGAGAGCAGAGGCCTGGCAGCCCACCAGGCTCAGACCCTAGCACAGAGCTGGACAGACCAGGAAAACCAGCGGGGAGTGTGTGAACAATTGCTACAGGTCCCTGGGGGAGCATTGCCAGTAGGCTGTGTGAGGAGGTCTTTCTTGGGATAAGGAGAGCTGGGTAGTGAAGCCCCTACCAGGTCACCTCTCACTGCCCAGCCGACCTGGTGGGTTTGCCCAGCACCCAGGATCTGGACCTGCAGCCCCTTTGCTGTGTCCACACAGGCCTTGCACTTGTCCTCTCTTTGCAGGAAATCCCCTCCGCACCCCTCTTCCGGCTAGTTAACCCTTCCTCCTCCCTGGCCCAGTTGAGACCATATTTATTGTTTTCCTTCCCAACACAGACGTCACTGCAGAGATCTCATCTGGCCACCCACGGCCTTGCTGTCCAGCCCTAACTCTGACCCACAGTGACGGTCCATTTGTCACCTGCTTCTTTCTAATCCCTTCCTGTCTGTGTCCCAGGTACAAGTTTGCTTCTCCCAATTGTGTTTCTGTGTTTAATTGGAAGACTGCAGACCACAACCTCCTGCTCCAAAGGTTCCTAACACAGCAGAGATGCAGGCAGTGCTGGGACGCGCTTTGTGCTGGTTCCCGATGGTGCACAGTGTTCTTCTGTCCTTCTGCTCAACGTTCCCCTGCTCAGCTGCTTTGCAGTGTTTAGAACATAAGTAGAGGCTCAGCGCCTATAGCTCAACCGGCTAAGGCGCCAGCCACGTACACCTAAGGTGGCAGGTTCAAATCCCCAGCCCAGACCTGCCAAAACAACAATGACGGCTGCAACGAAAAAATCGCCGGGCGTTGTGGCGGGCGCCTGTGGTCCCAGCTACTTGGGAGGTGGAGGCAGGAGACTCGCTTGAGCCCAGGAGTTGGAGGTTACTATGAGCTGTAATGCCATGGCACTCTACCCAGGGGGACAGCTTGAGGCTCTGTCTCAAAAAAATAAATAAATAAATAAATAAAATTAAATTAAATTAAATTTAAAAAAAAAAAAAAAAAGAACATAAGTAGAAACATTGAAATGTTCCATCTGTCTCTTTTCAAAGTCTACGAAAATAGAAACACCTTTGTAAGATTATGGAGACTTTTTGGAAAAGTCACCTGTGTAAACATATCCTTCAGCTCCTCCCCCACGCCCAGCAGAGAATACCCACCATCATGGTACCATCCCTTCACTACAGCCAGTCTCCAGCAATTCACCTGGAACCTGGACTCCAGACTTCTTCATCTGCAGAGAACCATCAGGAGCCATAAAGCCAGAAATTAAGTGGTACTTACTTTAACTTTATCTTCGTTTGCTTATTTCAGGCCCTACCAGAAGGAACGCCTCCCAAAACAGAGGGTATTCCAGTGGGACTCAAAATGCCAACTACCCAATGAGAGCTGCCCCTCCTCCCCCAGGTAAGCCACAGTCTACCTGGGACCACTAAATCTACACTCTAACTGATAAAATATGTTTGTGAAGAAACCCATCACTCATCAGTGAACACAGCTCAATTAGCCATGGGCCACTTCAGGGCCAGATGTACTTCTGTCCACACAATGGTCCTACTTGTGACACCAAAACTCAGAAAACTGAGTTGTTGCAACAACAGACCAGTTTGAGTTAACAATCTGGACTTCACTGCAGGCTTTCTACCCATCAGTAACAGAGAAGGGGGTTCCTTTTCTTTGACAACCAAGTGTTGTCAGCTTTTCAGATGCAGGATACTGCCTTTCTGGAAATAGGAGTGCAAGTATAACCTCACCCCAACTACCTGGCTCCCACCAAATACACCATGGTGGTCCCTCCTTGTCCTCTGAGGATATGTTATAAGACCCTCAGTGGATGCCAGAAACGCAGAGAATAGCCAACCCTATATGTACTCTTGCAGTTTCAGAGGCTACAGCAAAACTAGCAGAAATTTCTTTTTCCTTCTTCACTATTTTACAAATAGATAACTCATCCTCACTGTAGATCTTAGTAACCTCAGCATACAATTTTTTTTTTTTAAAGACAGAGTCTCACTTTGTTGAGTCATCGCTCACAGCAATGTCAAACTCCTGGGCTCAAGAGATCCTTTTGTCTCAGCCTCTCAAGTAGCTGAGACTCCAGGCTCTATCGCAACGCCAGCTAGTTTTTCTATTTTTAGTAGATAGAGGTCTCACTCTTGCTCAGGCTGGTCTTGAACTCCTAAGCTCAAGCAATTCACCTGTCTTGGCCTCCCAGAGTGGTAGGATTACAGGTGTGAGCCACTGCACCTGACCTTACTCAGCATACAATTTTGTTCTTTCCTTATTAAGTAGAGAACTTTTACCTTTTCACTTAAAGGAAGCACTTGACAGCTTCTCTTTGGCATATCCAAATTGCTGGCATCACTGCTCTTGCACTTCGGAGCCATTATGCAGTAAAATGAGGGTGACTTGAACATGAATACTGTGATACCATAACAGTGGATTTGATGACCAAGCTGCCTACAGAGTGACTAATGGGCAGGGAGTGTCTACACAGGAGTATGCTGGACAAAGGAGTGATTCATGTCCTGGCTGGGACAGAGCTGGACAGCACACAATTTAAGTCATAGGAAATTGTTTATTTCTGGAATTTTCCACTTAATACTTTTGGACTGCAGTTGACTACAGGTAACTGGAATGGTAGACACTATGGACAGGGGGCTACTGTATAGTATTTTGCAACCACTTCATAGCTTAATGAGTGAATAGAAAAAAATTCATTCTTAGGTAAGATCCAAGAGTTCTGCTCCAAAAGATATAGTAAATCCCAGAGAATCATAAAATTCTTTTTTTTTTTTTAATGAGAGCCTTACTCTGTTGCCCAGGCTAGAGTGCCATGGTGTCATAGCTCATAGCAACCTCAAATTCTTGGGCTTAAGTGATCCTCTTGTCTCAGCCTCCTAGAGGGCTGGGGGGCTAGGATCCTGCCACAAGGCCCAGCTGTTTTTAGAGACAGGGTCTCGCTTTTGCTCAGGCTGGTCTCAAACTCCTGATCTCAAGCAATCTACCCACCTCAGCCTCCCAGAGTGCTAGGATTACAGGCATGAGCCACCATGCCTGGCAGAATCACAAAATTCTTATAAATATTACCCTTATATTTCATATTTCTTACTTCTAATAAGAAAAATATCACTTGCAGCTCAATACACTCTACACCTGAATTGAAGACTTTTGCCCCTATAAATCTGGTGGTTGAAGAGCACTTTCAAAATCCACAAAATATTTTCTCCTCACTCACAAAATTCAGTGAAGTAAAAAATTCCTCCCAGAATGTTTGATATTAATCAGTTTAAGATTCTAGATGTGAAAGGGTCATTTTTAACTCAAGTTGCATGACTCAGATCACCCCAGACAAGAGAATCTTTTTTGTACTGTTGTCCAAGATAAGGAAGAATAAAAAGCATTTCTTTAGGCTCAGCGCCCATAGCTCAGTGAGTAGGGTGCTGGCCACACACACCAAGGCTGGCAAGTTTGAGCCCTGCCTGGGCATGCTAAACAACAATGACAACTGCAGCAAAAAATAGCCTGGCATTGTGGCAGGCACCTGTAGTCCCAGCTACTTGGGAGGCTGAGGCAAGAGAATCGCTCAAGCCTTAGAGTTTGAAGGTTGCTGTGAGCTGTGATGCTAAAGCATTCTACAGAGGGCAACATAGTAAAACTCAGTCTCAAAAAAAAAGGTATTTCTTTAGTCTCCTGCTTTGGGATTCCACAGCTGTATGCTGAAATATGAACATTTGTACCTTAGCAGTGAGAAACAAATTCTCGCTTCTTTTAGAGTCCCCATCCTACCTTGGCTTAGCTGTCTCTCCTCCCCTCTTTCTTTTTTTTTCTTTTTTTTTTGGCAGTTTTTGGCCAGGGCTGGGTTTGAACCCGCCACCTCTGGCATATGGGGCCGGCACCCTATTCCTTTGAGCCACAGGCGCCACCCTCCCCTCTTTCTTTATTCTTGAAGAAAGTCCAAGTACAAAGGAACCTCAGAAAAGCACTGTAGTATTATATTACTGCTTATGTGCTGGCCCCCAGTGTGGAATTTTGGCCAGGACAACCTGGAATGCTCATTGGGCCCGGCCAGGTTGGCCAAAGTATCCTCAGCTGAAATCAGGCCACAAGGTATCTGACCTTGAGCCTGGCTCCCAAGCTGTCTAATAGTTTCCCCATCAGTCAAATGAGGCAATTGGATTGGGATCCACTAATTAGACCAGCACTTATCAAACTATCTGTGCTGAAAGACCAGGGATTTTTGTTTTTAGAGTTTTTTTTTAATTCCCAGTCTTCTTACAAGCCATGCTTTTGTAAAATCTAATAAAAATGACTTAGTAGAAAAGTGGAATGTTTAAAGCATACAAAATATAAGCCAGAATTTCTTGGTGTTAGATTGAACAGACGTGAAATATCTGTTAAACTGCTGTGAACACTTCTAAATGCTCACTCTTAATTCTGAACTCTTCTTGGGCTACTGAGTCTCGGACAGCATGTGGCATGGCCTGTCCGGGGACCCCACTATGAGTATCACTGCCCCAGGGCATGTTCTGCTCTGAGATGCTTCCTACTTTCATTGGTTCCCTGGGCTGCAGGTAGAGTCTTACTCCCCTTCCCTGGCCCAGACACTGTGGGAAGCCCATACAATCCCACTCACCAGGGAAAACCGGGTCAAATGATGAGCCAGGCTGTCTACCCTAAATGTCTAGATGTGATGTGGCCTGAGTGGCTCGTGGGAGGAAATTGCTGGATGAGGAGCCACCCTCTTGAAAGCTCCACCCCAGAAAATTGTGGTTCAAAGTAGAAACTCCACCTATTTTTTTGTTTGTTTGTTTTTGAGACAGTCTCAAGCTCACCCTGGGTAGAGTGCTGTGGTGTCACAGCTCACAGCAACCTTAAACTCTTGGGTGTAACTGATTCTCCTGCCCCAGGCTCCCAAGTGGCTGGGACTACAGGCACCTACCACAACGCCCAGCTATTTTTTTGTTGCAGTTGTCATTGTTTTAGCTGGCCCAGGCTGGGTTCGAACCCGCTAACCTCGGTGCATGTGGCCAGTGCCAGAACCACTGTGCTACGGGTGCCAAGCCAACTCCACCTATTATTATTGGAGAGGAAAAAAGGTAGAAGTGGGCTCCTTATTCTTTTATGAAAAAATTGACACTAGAAAATCAAATATCTTGCTCAAGGTCCAGGCAGCTATTAGAGGGAGAGCCAGAACTGAACCTCTGGTAGAGTCTGGCTCCTCTTAGAAACTAAGGGTCATCCCCCAGGACCAGGGAGTTCTAATGTGGTTGGAAGAGGTTTATTGGTGCAGCTCACCAGAGTGGGCCTTGGAGAGACTCGTCCTTCTTGTCCACTCTGCCCAAATCTGTCAGTGGAAGAAGAGATAACAGCCTCTTCGTGCAGAGCCTGGGATGACAATTAATGCCCCTTTCAGCCAAGACCCATGTTTTGGAGCCCATCACCATGGTCCATTACTCACCAGCTAATGGGGTCTTGACTAGAAATTGCCATTTGACCAAGACCTTACTGCACCTGACTGATTCAGCTGGGAGGCCACATTACCCTCGCCTGGGTGGTGCACTCCCTCCTCCCCACCCGGCAAGCTCCTACCAACGGCACCCAGACTGACCCCTTGAAAATGGATGTCCAACTATTTAAACAGCTGCCTTCCAGCCCTCATAATTTTTCTTAGACCCCAGAATATGTCTGCCGAGTAGGTACAAGCTTACTTTCCCTTGACTATGGGCTTTGAAACCCTGAACATCTGGGGATTCTAGTGTCAAATGCAGTGAGCACAAGCTATGTCTGGGCCCTTTCTGTGCGGCTTACCTTGTGTTAGCTCTGTTCACTGTACACCCTAAATGTAGACAATTTTATTTGTCACTTGTACCTCGCTAAAGCTGGGGGTGGGGTGCAGACCCTCACAGTATATTAGCAGTAATGCCTTGCATTTTTTCCATATGGGGAAACTGAGGCTCAGGTAAGTTAAGTAACTTGCCCTTGCCTAAGAGATGGAAGAAACCGGGAGAGGCTTTTGGAAAAGATCAAAATTTTAAACTTTGTTGTCTTTTCTTTTCCTCTCTAGGATACCATCAGAATGGAGTGATCAAAAACCAGTTTGTGCCACAGCCTCATGCTCCTGGAAACCAGAGGTCCAACCAGAGAAGCCTGTACACCTCCATGGTTCGCCCACCCTTGCCACGACAACAGTCCACTGGTTCGGACCGAGTGTCACAGACACCAGAGAGCCTGGATTTCCTCAAGGTCCCTGACCAGGGAGCTGCGGGGTAAGATTCCCACATCCTATGAGTGCAGCTGACAAGCTCCATCGTCATCAGTAATACCAGGGGGTCAGGGATGTCTTTGGGCTGTGGGTGCATGGTTCTGAAGTTCAGTTTGCCACCCAAATGCTGCAATCCAGAGCCCAGGGCTGTGGTGCCTTGGCTGGCATTTCTGAACGTGCAGCCCAGTTGATAGCCCGACTCATTTCATCCCCTGGAGAGAGCTTGTTTTGGAAACATCAGAAGAGGGATCCCCTTCAGCTCGGGGTCTCGAGTACTCTGTGACATTTTTGACTCTCTGAGCAGCTCCCCACATAGTTGAGATAGGATGGGGATTTTGATTTAGGGCTGTTTGTGCCTTGAGTCACATAAACACAACAGCTCAGTCTTTAGCAACCTTAAGAATAACAGCCCAGGCTCAGTGCCCTTAGCTCAGTGGTTATGGTGCCAGCCACATGCATCGAGGCTGGCAGGTTCGAGCTCAGGGCAGCTAAACAACAATGACAACTACAACAAAAAATAGCCGGGCATTGCGGCAGGCACCCATAGTCCCAGCTACTCGGGAGGCTGCAAGTTTGAGCCCTGCCTGGGCATGCTAAACAACAATGACAACTACAACAAAAAATAGCCGGGCATTGCGGCAGGCACCCATAGTCCCAGCTACTCGGGAGGCTGAGACAAGAGGATTATTTGAGCCCAAGAGTTGGAGGTTGCTGTGAGCTGTGATGCCATGGCACTCTACCGAGGGCAACATAGTGAGACTCTGTCTCAAAAAAGAAAGAAAAGAATAACCCCCCAGCCAGGGGGGTTATGGTGGCTTCCACCTATAATCCTAGCACTCTGGGAGGCCAAGGCAGGTGGATAGGAGTTTGAGACCAGCCTGAGCAAGAGCAAGACCCTGTCTCTACTTAAAATAGAAAAAACTAGCCAGGCATGGTGGCTGGTGCCTATAGTCCCTCCTAGCTACTTGAGGGGCTGAGGTAAGAGGATCTCTAGAACCCAATCGTCAGAGGTTGCTGTGAGCTATGATGCCACGCCACTCTACCGAGCATGACAAAGTGAAATTCTGTCTCAAAAAAAAAAAAAAAAAAGAAAGAAGGAAAGAAAAAGAATAACATCCCAGCATTCTCTGAGGTGTGGATATTTGTTTAAGAACATTAATCTTCACAGCTTTGCAATGAGCGCCTCACTGCCTTTCTATAATAGAAATGAGTATTGGTAAAAAGAACGCAGGCTTTTTAGCCTGAGGGAGTAAAGTGTTCTGGGACTCTGGATACTCAAAGAGCTATCGGTGTGAAAGGGGTTACACAGGTCCTGTGGAGTCCCAGGGATAGAAGTAGGGCCAACTTCTAGACCAGTGAATGCACTCTGCCAGGACGTAGATTTTGGCATTGGTAAAAGAAAGAACATTCTAGCAACACAAAGCTGAGGTGTTCCCAGAAGTACTGGGTGGGAATCACCAGGCAGGAATGTTGATAAAGGAATGTGGTCAAGTGACAGATAAGGGACAGTGAGACAAGGCAGAGAATCCTGCTTCAGCCAGCTCTTAGCTGAGACTGGCCCCCCTGCCAGCCTCTCAGCCTGTTTTCCTTGTCTGTACGCATCAAGTTGGCAGCACTGTCAGGAGGACTAGAAATAATGTGCCCAACACAGCTGGCATGGTACGCGGCGTGTAGGAGGTCATCGGGTAACTTAGCCTGATGGTAATGACCACGATGATGATGAAGATACAGGCCCATCCACTCACTGTGCTTGGTCTGGTGACTTGTAAGGAATCTTTCAACGCTGAGGGCTCCTCAGTGGGGAAGCAGTCGACCTGCTGACCTGGGAACAGGGCACTCCAACACGCTCTGTCCCCTGGTTCCCTCCTGTCCCTCCTGTCCCCTGTCCCCTTGCTCCTCCCTCAAGCCTGCTTCCATTTTCCATTCTGTCTAGTCTGTAGCACAGTGAAGAAGTTTCGAATGCAGATGAGGAGCCTTGTGTACAAAACAGACCCGTTCTCAGAGAGAAGCAGCAGCTCCTTCCTCCCAGTGGGCAGCCACGCGCTCACCTCCACGCCCCGTTGTTACATGTTTGTCCTGCCTTAGCAACTTCCTTCTACAGATCCCAAATCCCAAGAAGGAGCTTGACTGTGTTCTCTCCTTGCATCCCTTTTCCCCTGGAAAGTCTTACCTCCGTCTTTCATCTGGGCTACAGATAGGAAAGCACCTGAGTTTTACTATTCAGACGGCTATGGAGAGCTCCATCAGGCCTCTCTCCCTCTCCCCTTCCTCTTTCCCCAGCTCTGTGTACAGGACTATATTCTGCTGGTTTCTAATAACTGTGGTCACCAGAGGGGCTTGGTCTAAAGCAGTGGTTCTCAAACCATAGTGTATAGCAGAATTTCCCAGAGGGCTTGCTGGTCCATGTCCAGAGATTCTGATTCAGTAAGTCTGGGGTCAGGCCCCAGAATTTACAGCCTCTACCAAGTACCCAGGTAATGCTGATGCTACTGTTCTCAGGACCACATTTTGAAAAACACTGGTTGAAAGGCACCAGTTGCCTAATTGATAAAGCCAGGGCAGATTCCGTGGGAAGGTGGCCTGGAAGGATGCTGTTAAGGCAACAGTACTTTCCCTCTGTAACCCAGACTGACGCTATTCAGATCAATGAGCATCCCGAAAATAATCACCGTTCCTCCCGGGCCCAGTTTGATGTCCCAAAGCAGGCAGGAGATTAAAAGCCATCAACAAAATGCATCAGATCTCTTAGTTCTGTCTGCTAGCTTCCTACATGCTTTGGTTTTGGCAAGCCAAAGCATCTTTCCAGCCTACTTTGTGAGCTACAGACTTGCACATCAGCCAGCTGGGAGCATCTGTCAGCCAAAAGTAGGTAATTTAGGAACATTTTGTCTTAACTAAGGCTGCTCCCTTGCAGCCCTCAGCATTTGGTACCCTGTTTGAGTCTTACTGCATCCCAAGACCAGGTATGCCTGATGCTGTCTTAAGAGAGTGGCTGTGACTACATGGGCAGGACAGCTTCATCTCCATCTACGAAGCAGTAAGATTTCCTGTCTGTTGTATGTAAAATGTTATTAGGAGGCACACTAGGTCCAGTAAATATAAGAATTAGCCTTTTCTTTATACAATTAAATTTGCTGTGCAGACATCCCTTAAGGAAAGATAAACCAGTGTAACCTGGTTTCTTGTACCCTCAATGAATCCCAAAATAAAAAGTGAATAAAGCAAAAAAAAAATTATAGGAAAAGGCAAAGAATAGCTAAAGCAAAAAGAAGAATAAAGTGAAATGAATTGGGGAAATAAAAAAAGATGTCCTGGTCAAAGGCTGAGTATTTATTTTCTAAGGCAGAGAAAAGTGAAAATTAAAAGTTTCTTATGTGGCTGGAGATCTTATCCAGGGCACTTCAGGAACCTCTTGGTTCCCTAAATTTAACGGCTTCTCGTCTTTGCCAAGAAAACGCGAATTGCATTTATTCCATAGGAGGCTTTTGGAGCATACAGAGAATTTTGGAATCTCCAGCTTGTACTTTTCCATAAACATGAAGATTCCTCCATAACAACAAAGATCCTTGCATGTACCAATCTGGAAAAACGAGATTACCATGGTCTTCCTTTCCTGGGCTTTCACATTCAGGGTTTATCTTCCTTTTCCCTCTTACCCCTCGATGTACTTTTTCTTTGCAGACATAATTAGCAAAGAAAAGTGGATCATGTAATATGGATAAAATCAAATGATGTGATTAGCACCTCAGGTTAATTCAGAAAGTCTTTATCAGTTTATTTTAGACTCAGTTATTTTTCAATAGAGCATGATAGCTTCACTAAATTAATTATCACCCCAACTGGATTCTTCACCCCTGGGTTGCAATTTTTGTGCACATGGAAGCTATTGTTGTCGTCATCAGTATTGTCATCGTCCTAGAAAGATCCATGCAGGGGGAATCATTATCTTGTAGTCCCTTAGTGTTTTTTTTTGTTTTTTGGGGTTTTCTTAGAGACAGAGTCTCACTTTGTCGCCCTCAGTAGAGTGCTGTGGCATCACAGCTCACAGCAACCTCCAGTTCTTGGGCTTAGGCGATTCTCTTACCTCAGCCTCCCGAGTAGCTGGGACTACAGGCGCCCACCACAACACCCGGCTACTTTTTTGTTGCAGTTTGGCCGGGGCTGGATTCAAACCCGCCATCCTCAGTATATGGGGCCGGCACCCTACTCACTGAGCCACAAGCACCACCCCTTTAGCATAGTTTTTGAAAAGTCTGATTCAGGTTAGAAATCCTTCCCTATTCTCAAGGACAGGTTGAAAAAGAATCATATAAACACTTCATCCATCCACCTCTGCTCTGACCTCATAGGAACACTTGATTTGCCAATCAAATGTGAAGTGTGGTTTGCCCTCCTGTAACTGAAATGTACACCATCTACCTGCAGTTCATGATTGGAAGCATGAAAACCCTGAATGGAAATAGCTATCGCCCTTTTTAATCTTGTGGTCCATTTCATGGGAGGACAATGTCAGGAAATTTCAAGATATTCCAGGGATTAATCCAACTGGAAGTTGGGGAAACAGAAAACTATCGCAAATGCTCAGTGGTAGGGCTTCTGGCCACGCCACAACAGAGAGGTCGATAGGAAAACTTAAATGCTCCTTGTGTGTCTCTTGTCAAGATTCTCCTGATGGAGTCATATTTTCAAGGGGCTCAAAATTTCCAGCAAGTGTCCAACGGCAATATTTCTCAACTCATAGTCTACAGGAACAGCAGCCATATCCTGGCCCAGGCAGACATGGAGCTTAGGAATTCCTGGCATCCATCTCCACATTTCCAGTAATGTTTATAGATTCAACCTTTTGGAACAGAACATATTTTTTAAGAGCCAATGAAATAAAATACCATTATTTTCTTTCTTGGAATTTCAAGACATAAATTTCACATCTGCAGAACAAAGAGGTGATATTTGAAAGTTTAATCCCAGCTCTCCCAGGCATGGCCTAGGCACACCTATGTGGGA